GGCTGAAACTACCCTCCATGGAGGGTAACCAGCGGATCGGAAAGTCTAACTACAACAAGCAGAAATAAAAATGTTCACTGGATTACAACTTCATAATTATCAAAATCTAGGATTAACTCATTACAAAAGTGACCAGCAAAGTCCAGCACTTACCAACTGCAAGGCTGTCGCGACCCGTGAAAACGAAGGACAAGACGTCCCGGAAGTCCATTTGGCGCATTCAAACAAATCTATTGCTTCTGCGTGCCGGAGTTGGAAAAGAGAGGGTATCTAGCTGTCAGTCATAATATTTATCAGGATTATGAATCTCTGATGTGAAATGGTATTAACATGCATGAATTATGCGGTCCTGGAATCATCAATGAAGTACAATATGTAAACAATTCATGCATACATTCCTTCATAAACTTTTCATCATTGCCTCAAGCAAAGAGTAAAAACTGTTACAATGGAAGTACTAGCTCCAAGCTTTATTTTTCTCCACGTAATACCTGTAATATCTAGATACAAACCTGTTTTTTTGTTAATGCCAAGACAAACTTCCACTTGTCCAACTTGTAAATTTTCTGCATACTTATTCTGTTGGGATGTTCTATTATGTGAACATGTAGCACTTATATCTAATAGTGACAACGGGTAGGGACTGGGATTACCCTCCATGAAGATACATGTAATTTATATATAAACTTATTTATACCTGTAAAAATGGTGTTCCTGTATATTCAGAAATAAATATTATTAATAGCATGTAGCTCCGGTGAAACTGGCGTAATTTTCCTCCAAAGACACCTTCTCCTTACTCCGTTAAGTCAAAGTTACCGGTCTGGCTATCATTATGTCGGTTTGCAGTAATGGTGTTTTGAGCTCAAGTGAGAGCCATTATCCACTGTGGTTGCAACTCTTACGCCTGCTTTCATCGTGAAGTGTATCTGCGGTGATGGTATCTTCAACTCCAGACTAGGTCTTCATGACATCTGTCAGAAACGCTGAAACAGTAGTTAGGTGGACATGTAACTGTTGTCACCTGCGGGGAAAACTGGAACCCCACGGACTGCTTACACTCTTTTCTCACCCAGACACACCCACGAAGACAGCCAGAGCAGTTGCTGCATACAATGGGTTTATCTTTCTCCCGAGGCTCGGTTTGTTGACATTGGAACTATATAGGTGGCCGCGGCTCTTGGTCTTTTCCCATAAGGCGCCTTTCAGAATGCCTACCTCACTGACCGTGGACGATCTAGTTCACTTTTAATGGTGGAGGTCGATTAGTGCCCGGTGCTTCAGAAATAGGGATGAGCTTTTTATCTTTACTTGCCAAGCTTGGGATCACTTTCGTCAGTTCAAGCTTTTCAGGAGAACAAGTGTTTTCAATATTGGGCTCAACCTTGTCCCCAGGTTACTCAATATAGCTGCGTAGCATATGGCATCCAACTGGCGTTTAGCAATCATTTCTGTTGGCACACCGTAAGATTAAAAAGCGTAGTGAGGTTTGATCGACATTCTGCCTTCTTACCATCTTGCTCAGTGCTCGAGTTATCACGAGCAACTGTCGTTTTTTATTATACTGTCCCTGACTTTTGTGGTGTTGGACAACTCACAACTTGACCAGTGACTCTATAAACACATGAATTGGCGTTAAAATATGTGTTTATCTGACGAAGCATAGAGCTATGCAGAGGGTCAAACATGTCAATCACTCGCAAAGCAAACGCCAAATGTTGAGTGACTTTGATGACACTCTGGTATGGAAAAAGAGCACTGAATGGAAACGAACTGAATTCACAAACAATCTGTATGTACCTTAAGGTTATGCTTTCCCATTCTTTTCATACCTTCCAGACAATTTTGATATTATGATACAGTTAAGTTTCCTCTCTTTTTTACCACTCGAGACGGCTCAGGTGTTTTAGATTTCTCTATCGCTATCAATTTAATTGTGCCTGTGAACCGGCCTCTCTCACGTCAAATCCACAACTTGGGAATAAGATATTTATTTATTTTTTGGGCCTGTGACATATCCGCATTAAACACGCAGTGAGCACACCTCCTGCGTTCTCACTCGAAGGTTGCTTCACCTCTGACTGTGGTGCGGAATTACGCATGAACGTTTTCACGCTGGCGACCGTTTTTCCGAAAAGGTTCTAGGCTGTTCCCTTGACTTTTCTTGTTTTGGATTTCTACGGATGAGTTGAGATTTGCCCAGTCTGTACGCAGTAACTTGCAGATCGAGGATGGGGGTGTACAGAGTGTTATGAAGGTTGATGATTGGACCATTACGTAGTGTTATGAGGCACGATGGCTGAAGTGAAGTCGGCGTGGATGATGAAGTAAGATTCTAAGGGCTCTTGGCACTTTTAGCTGCGACCTTATTCACTGCTGAGTAAGGGGAAGTCAGTGACAGTGGTTTGGTTTCGTTGGAGAGCTTCTCTGAGTAGAACTTCGACAAAGTTAAAGCTCCGGTACTGCACGGGAGCATAAGTAGGAATAAGGATGGAGACAAACTACGTAGAAGAAACGTAACTGGATAATATGAAAAGCAAACCAATGTCGTTACCTGTGGTAGCTTGGTTTCAGTATTCTGAGGGATTCAACCAGTTGTTCTTAAGTCTTTGGCATATGAGTGAGTGAGAAAGTTCTGTGGATGCAAAACCTGAGCTATAGCAGCCGACAGAGGTGGATAAGCCTATTAGTCGGTTACCCTGGTAGAGGCGAGTGGTAGAGCATGAATTACGCCTTTTGCTGAAGGGTAGTTTCAGGACCGGTTTGTAGAATTGATGGACGACGGTTCTATGGGTTCTGTGTAGGTGCCGTGGTGATGATTTATTTAGAATGAGTTACAGCAGTATTTGTACAAAGCATTCCTTGTTTGAAATGCCACACAGTTTTTACCCAGGCTGCAAGAAGCCTAGCATGGCAGCGTTTTTCATTTATTATTCAGTTTTCTTTCGGTATTGAAGCTATTCATGATCTAAAAGATGATGGAAAGCTATTTGAGTACATTCTGGCTGCACCACAGATCTTTAAGTTGGAGTCTAATATCCCCTCAGAAGAATCATTAGGAGGCACAGAAGCCACCTCACTGAAGGAATTTCGCAATTAGCAGATGCCAGCTGCGTGCGGGTTAGTTGGGTTCTTCGCTCATGCCCTCTAGTGGTGCAGACATCACCTCTTAGCTGATTAACAGTCATAAATATATCTGAGAAACCGATGTAGTTATTCGTGGTCAAAACTTAGGCGGTCCTTTCGATAAGTGAAGGTTTGAATAGGTGTCTTACGCCAACTTCACCCATGACCTTCTTTTGTGCAACACACATTAGACATATAATGAGCATTGTCGCTAAATGTAATCAGTTACATGGCGATAGTGATTAGCCTAAAGCACTGGGTAGGACACAAAAATCATAAGAAGTACTGGACTACATGGCATGCGGGGCCAAAGTTGAGTACAGAAAAGCACTCAGACGTTTGAAAAACTAGATAAGATTAATGGGATGTTCAAAAGGTATACACTTCGAATCAGAATTATGTGCACAAGGTCATACAACATACGACAGTCTTTTGGGCCGGTGTTAGTGAGGACGGTATTTTTCACATAACCATGACCTCAAGTTGCAACCAAGTCTGACAACCGTTTCCAGGTCATGAGAGTCAAGGGACACAAGAACTTAGTAGGGTTCAGAAATTTCGTAATGATGAACAGTTCAGTGTCCCTTCAAGGTTGTTTATTCACGGAAAATCGATACCTGTATGCTCGATTACGGGCTCAGAAATCGTAGGTAGATCGGGAAAACTTTCTTTCTGTTTGTGCCAGCGTGATCTGAGACGACATCAGCGTATATCTTTGAAAAAAACTTGGCACTCTCTACAAGGTGTAGTATCGGCCAAATGGCAGCCCATTTTCATCCCAAACCGTATCAGCCGACCAAAACGTACTTTCCACAGCAAGTTACTAAGAGGAAAGACGCAGATTTGCGATAACTCGCTTTAATACATTTTCTAGAGTCCATACCTTTTAGGTAACATGCATTATCAACAGTTCGGTTGCATGTTACCTACTTAATATAAGACATGAGATTGAGTTCAGGTCAATTGACCGGACAGCTACTAGACGATAAGATATGAAATTGTTCTTGTTTGCAGCGTCCGTTCCAACAAAAGTGTGCCACGTATACCCAAGACGACACGAAAGTTGACCTTTCATTGTTGCGGTCCATAATGACCTCACGAAGCCTCACGCATGATCTGAATAAGCCATTACGCGCCTCAGATAACGGCCCTGAACCTAGAAAAACAGCTCCCGTTTAAGGAAACCAGCTAGTAAAAGAGTTCAATGGTTGGTATCTGCGAATGCCAGGTTAGCGTCCTTACTCCATCAAATCGGAGAATGTGTTCCATCAGTGACAACCTCTTGCATAGTGTGACAGATTGATGCATTATCAGTAAGTTTTTGAATGACAAGTCTGGACAACAAAAATTTATGTTTTGACTACATTTTAGGTAAAATTACCGCCCGTGATCACACCATTATTAAGAATTATTTTATACCACCTGTAGTTCATATTAGGCACTCGCTTACACATGTCAGCAGGTTGACCTAGGTTGGTTAATTGCACCTGGAATAGAGACACAGAGTAGAATGAAGACAGATCCACAGATAGCTAATGATCCCCCAGAAAAGCAAGGAGCGCGTACGAGCAAATCTACTGGCTTATAGCAAGAGATCTAATGCCAACGAGGCGAGTCATGACAAAGACGACTTAATTACCGACGATATTCAAAGCTCTCTTGAAACTCTTCGGAAACCAGTAGTCTCCGTTAGAATATTATATTATATCATATATATTATTATATTATAATTATATTATTTATCATATTATATTATATCAGAATATTAGATATATAATCTCTTGGTTAATTGATATGTATCTGCATGGGTATGCCAAAAATATATGTATTAGGAAATAGTGCCACAACTGTAAGCATTTTCAGCCGTCTCACTTTCAAGTATTATTATAGTAGCTACCTAAAGTAAAAAGAAAACAAAAAGGAAAATTCATGACTTGAAGACAAGTGGATTAAACAAGAGCATTAGTTTAACTTGAAATTTATGTGGATTTTATTTATTTCAGGGCAGTATTCCTCACTGAAGAGCCGCTGAAAACCTGGCAGCACTTAATACCTGTTTCGTTCTCAGTAGTCCACACCACAACCCATCCAGAGGTTGAGCTTAGAACTTTCATGTCTCATCGTTAGTGGTATGCTTTAAGATGATCATCCTGTAGTTCGAATGAGAGGCCATGACCTATGGGGTCACCCGGTCGGAAGTGAAGTGAGTACCATCCGAAAAATTTGGTAGATATTCATGCTGTCTACCTAATTGACAGAAGTAGAAAACTTTAGACCACTAAACTGAGAGCATTAGTTTAATTTTTTGGTCCAGCCCATGTAGGTTTACTCATATATCCTCCCAACTATTTCATGCGGAGACAATACAAACTTATTGAAACTGAATTTGTTTTTGTTTATATTCGATAATGGCTAACATAACTGATGACAGCTTTTGAATTTCCTACCCTTAATCTTCTGACTTCCTAATTATTGCTTTACAACACGACAGTTTGAGATAGAGAGTATTTATCGTCCAGTTTATGCTGAGTTGCAGTCTGTATCTCCCTACACTGAATTTAGAAGTTTTTAAGAGTACTTACCGTTGTTTATGAGGACTTTCACAGAGTTAAATTTTAATTAGCAAATCGTCTGAGCAAGTACTAGAAGTAATGTCTGTGTTATAGATCGATCAGATTAGGGTCAAATAATAAATATGACCGTTCCTTTAGAAAATAGTGCCTATGCATAGCGTTACTGCAAAACTTGTTTTTGTCCAACATCTGCCACACCATAACCACTAAGGGTGGAACAATTGAATTTTGCCATCTCTGAGCGACCGTCAAAGGACCTTGAAGTGACCGAAGCTAGAAAGCTCTAAATTGTTGAAAGGAGGTCGGTTTTTATCCATGCACTCAGGCAGAAATTTGATGATGATAATTTCTACTGAACCAAAAGGTTGTATTCCTCGTATTATCGCCTCACATATTTCGCTAATTCTTAAGTGTTTTCCTTATGCTTGCATTCCCCATCAAGGCAGAAACTATAGACTACGAGTCTACATAGGAAAAATGACTAGTCATTACGTTGCACACTCTTAGACGTGATGATAACCCTTATTTTAACTCCCCGAACACCACTGTGTGATTCGAAGTAAGTTTGCAGCACCAGTTATATTATAAAGCGGGAGATGAGAGAACCTATTGTTTTTTTAAAATTCTCATGCTTCAACTGTTAAATCCCTCTAAACCGATTAAGATCAATAATTTTGAGGCAATAGGGAACCATTTGAAGGCTAATTCATTTCCATATCACAGTTCGTTTGGTTTAATATTATGAAGTCACATGAATGAACACTTTTATTCTACTTACGTTTACTCTAAGCAGTCAAGACCTACATGCATTTCTAAACATCACTAAAAAACCCGATACCTACTGTAATTTCCTTTTATTTTGTGTCAAACACTGAAAAGAAGCGACAGTTTTTCGCATTGGTGCGTTCAGGGTCTATTGAAGGTCGCTCAAGTGTGGCAAGATTTGATATTTCAACTCCACCTAGTGAAGAATATATAGATGTATCTAAGTTATCATGGGATAACATCGGTTGAAAAAATAGCCGAAAAAATAGACATCCGTCTTATCCAGGCATACGAGTGTGTTCGATGTTGTCCATTCTTAACCTCTTACTTCATGAAACCCATTATATTTAGATATTGTGCCAAGAAAACCACTCTTGAACCATTCAGTTGCAGACATTTTAAAAGTTGAAGTAGTTTCCATTCAATTAACACGGTCATTCACTTTGATAGACTGACATGTCTTCATTTTTGACCTGGATGACGCCATAAAATTCAAAGTTGTGCTAATTTTTAGTTTGAAAATTACCTTCCATTACATACCGCAGTACACAAAGTAATTGTTGTACCGTGGAGGTGATAACGAGAGGTGTTGTTTTAATTGTAGTGTGTGCATAAACAATACCCCTTAGACATTGACTGGTCACTGGAAAGTAACTAATTTTAAGTTGTCTAGTCCTAAGTGCTGAGAGAACTCTATCAATCAAACTATCTATCAAACTCTAGCAACCATACATGGAGATTCGTCATCACAGTGCACTTAAGTTGATGTTTGATAGTTGGAGGATATCAGAAAAAAGCTCTGGTTGACCTAGATTTGGTACTTGTTGAGACACATCAGCAAGGCGCATCTGAAAATTCGGGGGTATTGAAACCTCGGAATAGATCACTGATAACATCTCTGACTGTAGCTTGAGTCCCTCGGAAGATATCACTTCCTTGGGGTCATAAATACGTCCTGCTGACGAATGTCAACATGCATAAAGTCTATGCTCAGGAACTTTCATTTATTACCTATGACAGTTTAACATCAATATCTTATTGACATTCTGATGCATTTCGGTTTTGCTGCGAGTTCTTAATGAGTGCTACCTTAATCGTGAAGTTTTAGCGATAGTACGATATGAATCGAGGATTTTTACTGCAGATATCAATATGCATGAGCATAACAACTAGACACGTTATTGTTTAGGACATCTATTAATTCGATGAGCACTGCTTGAAACTAATCCAGTTCATATTAGAAATGCTTTTGTTGGATGTATTATTATTTATTTATTTATTGATTATATTTATTTATCCCTTGGGTTCCTAGTGGGACATTGGACTTCAGTAGCACGTCTCCATTCCATTCTGCTCTCTGCAATCTTTTGAACCTGGCCCACGATCTTCTCCATGTCACACTTGCCTTGGACGGACAACTCGTCCAGTCCCCCTTGGGGTTCCACTCAAGGGGCTGGCCTGGCGCTTGATGTCCCCAATCGGCCTTCTCAGTGTATGCCCAATCCAATCCATCTTCACTTCCTTCTGCATATTTGTTGAGTGATACGTTCTTGCTTCGTTGGTTCGTTGCTAGAGTTCCTTGTTGCTTATTCTTATTATTCTCGCCATCTGATATTCAGTAACGAACGTAGGCGGTTATTGATGAATGTCTGTAGTTTGTTGGAAATGCTTTTCGTAACGCGCCAAGTCTCTGAACCATCACATAGCAGCACTGACTTCACTGAATTGATGTTGAAAATCCTGATCTTCTTCTTTGTGCTGAGTGCAGTAGATCTTCACACTGATTCCAGATTAATGAAAGCTTGTCTTGCTTTTACGATCCTCACCTTGACATCCTCATCTGTGCCGCCTGTAGTTGAAACGACACTGCCTAGGTAGGTGAAAGAGACTACTTCCTTTAGATTTCTCCCGTTAATGGTGATTCATACTTGTTGTTGATGCTGTTGTTGGTTGGGTATCTTCATCACCTCTGTCTTTTCTATATTCACCTGAAGTCCTGTCTTCGCTACCCTGCCCTGCCTCTTCTGCCAATTTGTTAGTTTTGGCCTGTAGATCATCAAGTTTGTGTGACATCAGACACAAGTCATCGACGAAATCCAGATCTTCTAGGTTCTTTTCCGCAGTCCAGCCAGCGTATCCCCCTCTTCTCGCTTCCCACTGTTTGCTGCATGATCCAGTCCACCACAATCAGTAAGATCATGGGTGATAGTTGACAGCCTTGTTTCACTCCTGTCTTCACTTCAAAAGCACCACTGAACTTCCCATTGTGAATTACTTGGCATGTGGCGTCTTCATATAGTTGTTGAATGAGATTGATACAGGTGTGCGCTACCCCGTAGTGTTGAAGTGACTGCCAAATTACATAAACCTCCAAAGTGAAATAAATTGTGGTTAGACATTTAAGCTTCAAAATAATACAAAGTAAGATTGTATAACTTAGTCAAGTTTGACTGCGCCACTGAGTTTCTTCAGATTTCAAATGGTCATGAACACCACGTTCAGATAGTCAATCAATCAAATTACGAGTAACATAAATACTTCATTACTTAATGATTTGGCGTCATGTTTTTATCTGCTTGCTTCGAAATTCACATTGGTGCCAAAAGTAGGTTAGCATGAATAGTGTAATTTGCAAATACTTCACTTGGTACAAACTCACAACCTCACTAAGAGAATTAACCTCCTCACCTGTAGGTGTAAGCCTAACCTTCATGTGATATACTTATACTACAAACGTTTCATCATCTCCTACCATATACGTGTAACGTTTAGTTGACTGAGTTTATTTCTGCCATTTTATGTCACAGTGTTGAGATTATAAACATGGCTACTACTACATACTTTAAATTACAATGAGCATTCATAAGACTTTTAGAAGAGGTTAAATTCATCTCCATGTTATCACTGGCATCACATCTACGATTCAGTAAGTCTGTTGCGATTATACTTTATAAGATTCAACAATAACCGCATATATTTATCTTGCCACGAGTTATACTTATGCCTAAGCATAACATATACTACTGTTTTACAAAGTTAACCTAATCCTATGACACATTAGTTGCTGTTTCATTTACCAGTTTAGAAACATTTTCATTTTATTGAGATCATCATAGGTTTATAACTTGACTAATGTGTCTGTCTAATCACTCAGACCTCGTAAATTGCAGTATAGTGATGAAACCATCAACAGTAGGAGAATTTAAAGTGATTATTATGGATAGACATTGTATATGCAATCATGAAAAATCTGAATACATTGAACCCCTGCTTCGTCCCATTCATGACAACATATTGAATTCAACGCGCTGCTGTCATCTCTCCTAGCAAATACAGTAGTATCCAACCAACAGATTGAAATCTGGCTGCCAATATTTTCACCCTCAGTCATTTTGAGTAATTGTTTTCATACTCAACTTGATTGACTCCATAGATCCTAACTTTGCATTCGAATTTCAGAAAATCCGTCTCAAACTTCTAGTAGAACTCATTAACCTTTTAGTGTTAATCATGCACTGATAGTAATTGACTGGAGATAATCTTCCTAGTTTGAATAACACACTGTTTTCCTTTGATGCCAGTTAAGTCAAGTCTGAAGACAGTTACTCCCTGATGACAACGTATAGCTATATTGCAAAATGATTGGAGGTGAAAACATGAACTATCCGTTAGCTGAATGGTAGTGGGTTTGAAACGAAACAAGTGTTCACTGGCTTTATTGTCTTACATAATACGGTAGTTGATACTGATCTGTGATGTATACAATGAAATCAGTCAATTCCCTGTAAATTCCTCAAGTGTTTAATTCCAGTTTTTACTTGGATTCTCAATAAATTGTTAGGAGTATTCACAATAGTTGATTTGTCAAGTGCAGAGTAAAGAAATATGCTTATGGATGCGACTAATAAATGCTGGTTTAATGTTGTTAAATGGACTAGATTACTGGTTACATCCTTATCATGGGATTTAATAGTCCTAGGATCTGTTTCTCATGAAATAGTTTGTATACTATACTGAAGTTTTCCTTGAAGTTGAAATATTCTCTGATTGATTTAAATCTATGATGAACTTTCACAGTAAGATTGCCGGTGACTAAAGTCTTGGCAGACAGGTCATTTCCTCACTGTATATAATGTATATAAGTCAAACTGGACGAAGTCACGTGTGACAAATAGCACATGAAGCATACTAAGATCGCTTCACGTAGGAGAGAAACATCTTTTATCTGTTCAGAGATAAGTCAGTATCAGTGGACAACATAGACGGAGCTACATCATTAATACGATTTGCTAGGGGGTAGTTTGTATAAATATTAAGCAGATTTCTGTGTCAGCAATCGGACCTCATAGCTCAGTTGGTATAGCATCGAGCCAGGAACCCGGTGGTTGCTGGTTCGAATCCGACCCGGGTCCAAATCTTCATTTCACCTTCAATAATTATGGGAGATTACATGTACTGGAAACACTATCCAGTGAATAATACTGTTTCACTGTGTGATATTTAAGGAAAACTGCAATGGAATGGTAATCTACCACAATACCAAAGTTCTTTTATCATATTAAGGACTGTCACTCTATACCATCCTATTGTGCGGCTGTATGTGATTGAATGTATCGTAATGGCTGAGCTCTTCTTTGAATTTCTTTTCTTACTAGGATTGATCCCACTGGATCTGATCAAGGTTTTAAGTTCTATTCCTCTAACTGGTTCCCTTCAACTACTTTGACCTATCCATGTACTTGGCCTGAAAGTGACGGAAAACCATGAGAACAACCAATCAGGTTGTCTATGATTTGTTTAAGCTATCAACCGTGCTGTTCACACCACATAAACGTTTGGTGAATTATGAAGAAGATTACATTGTAGGTTGTATAGGAAATTTGTTAGAAAAGGTAGTTTGGTTGAAGTAGGTGAATATCTTGTTTGGAAATTTAAATATAACCATGGAAGATAACATAAACAGGACTGGGTAAGTTATAAGTTACGCAGAACATATATACTTATATGTGTCTTGGCAGACCACAGATTCTTGGTATATACGATTAAAATACGAAGAGGGAACGTTTTCAGTGGATAAAGGACAGATAAGTAAAACCTATGCTAGCAGTTTTGCGAGAATACTTGCCATTAGATATCACAGTCTACATAGATGCTTGCAAGTCATACATACCTTCATCTGAAATAGGTTGTCTCCGTCAAGCTGTTGTTCACAAAAATCACTTGATTGATAGGACAACTGGGGTGCACACAAACAAAGTTCTTAAGACCTTGAACGGGATCACGATGGAAAATTTCCCAAATATAATTTAAACGATCTTATATGGATTAGGAATAGTGCACGCAACTATATGGTTTCAAAGATGATAAATCTATTTAAAATCTAGATATCTTTATTTGTCAGGTAAAACAGATTAATAAATTAAAAATAGAATACCGTTTCCCTTAGTAATTACATTGTCCTTCATATTCTTGATTCAGATTGGTCGGTGCATGGTTGAACGTGATTGGCTGTCACTAAAGTTTAGTTCAACCGACCTGAAAATAGTTGCTAAGATCTATAATCGTATTAAAAGTAACTTTTACTTTCCCAAAACCAGAAAGATGTTATTATTTGTAGAATAAATAAATAACTTTTATTTATCGCCACTAAATTATTAATGTGTTCAAGTGCTAGTTCTACTGATTATTATTTTTTATTATTTTTTGTCATTTGGGTTACTGGTGGAACATAGGGATTCAGTAACACGTCACCATGTCACTCCTTTCTCTGAACTCTTTTCAACTTGGCTCCACGACTCCCTATAAGATTTCAGTGCTTCCTCACACCATCTCCTCCATGTCACCCTAGCCTCAGACACCCAACTTGTTTTTTCCCATGCGGGTTCCACTAGAAGGCCTGACCTGATGCGTGATGTCCCCAAACCGTCTTCTGAGTGTATGTCCAATCCAACCCAATCCATCTCCACTTTCTTATTCTGTATATTTGTTGGGCGGTAGGTTCTTGGTTGTTTCTTTGGCAGACCAGAATGAGTTCTGGCCACCTGATCGATCTTCAGTATCGAATAAGCGTAGGTGGCAGCTGTTCATTTGATGTATGTCTACAGTTTATTGGAAATGCTTTTCGTAACGCAATAGGTCTCCGAAGCATCACACAGAAGCTCTGATTTACTTGACTGATATTATGTTGAAAATCTGGATGTTGTTCACGCTTTCTGCTGAGTGCAGTGTAGTGCAGTACAGTGCATTGCAGTAGATCTCCACACTAATTTCAGATTAATGAAAACCTGTCTTGCTTTTCCGATCCTGACTTCGACGGCCTCATGTTTGCCGCCACCTGTAATTGACACGGTGCTCCCTCGGTAGCTAGATGATAGAGATAACTTCCTCTAGATTTCTCTCATTGGTGGTGATTGGTACTTGTTGTTGTTCTTGTTATTGGTTGAATATCTTCATCACCTCTGTCTTCTCTACGTTCACCCGAAGCAAATCTTGTCTTCTCTGCCTTGCCTCGCCTCCTCTGCCAACTTGTTAGTTTTCGCTTGTAGATCTTCGAGTTTGTGCTACAAGACGTTAGACGTAAATCATCATCTATGAAATCCAAATTTTCTTCTAGGGGTCTTTTCATCTCATCTGTCAAACAGCATATGTTCATCTTCCCACAGCCCTTCATAGTTCGTTGCATGATCCAGTCCGGTCCAGTCGACCAAAATGAGGAAGATGATCAACGATAGTAGACGGTAACTTTGTCTTACTCCTGTCTTCACTTAAAAGTGATCACTGAGCTTTTCATTGTGAATCACTTGGCATGTAGCATTATATAGCATATAGCTGCTGTTGTATGAGTTCGACAAAGGTTTCTGGTAGTAAAATCGTAGTATTGAAGCAGCCGCCAAATTACTTCTCGGTGGACGCTAAATGAATTCGAGGTAAAGAGTTGACCCTCAATTGTTCTACTGAGGATTAATTTAAAGATGGTCTGAAAGATATGAAAGACTACAATTAGTATGCTGACGTTCTAAATTAACAGAAAAAAGTATTTATTTGTAAGCTACAGCCTTATCTAAATCTCTTTTCCATATCGATCCTATGATATCAAAGAATGTCTGATCAGTGTCTGGCTTAAACAAAACCATTTCATAAGAAAAATTAAGACAGTTATGATGTAAAAATACATGAGAAATTGGTGAACTTCATTAGTTATTATAATGTCAAAGATTCAAGTTTTTAAGTCACATCGAATGATAAAATATCCCAGGGATTTTTAACAAAAGATAAACCTTAATACATTGAATATGATGCGAAAATAATTATCACAATTAACAACAAATTATCTTACAAGTTATTAACTATGATAACCTACTTATTGAAAGATTCAATGATGAAATTCTTTGCTCATTATACGTCTCTTCAATTTCTTGTGAAGTCAACTGATGACCAATATGAGATTGTATAGCAACTGTACCAACATGTGTAAGTAATGGAGTTAATAATCGATTATTTCTAGTAAATCCACTAACATTTTCTGATGTTCCACGTATTTTAATTGTAACACCTGTAATAAAGCCATTAATAGTGCCAACAGATAGATGTTTTGTATCACATTTTCCCAAATCCTTGACCTAAATTATTATTATCAATAGAAAAGTTGTATTCATTTCGTAAGTTATATTTTTTAAACTAACTAGGTGGTTTATAAAAAAAAATATTATCATATTGTAGATTATCTGTAAGGTGTTGACAACATCTTCAACATACACTTCTTTGAATTCAGGAAATTGAATAAATTATGGCGAACAATCTTATCACAATTCAAAGGATAATCTTTTGTGGATTCTATGTAACCACTTAAGAGTGCTTAAAATGTGATACTTATAATAAACAGACAAACAAAATAAACAATATCCTTACATAAATTATAAAACGATGTAAACTCTAAAGTCTCAGGTGTGTACTCATTAGTGCTTACCTGTGACCCCATCGGAAGTCGAACCCAAGACAATCAGGCTTTACGGCGAGTACCTTACGATTGAGCCACTGGGTCAGAAATGAGTGGTCCACATTTTTCTACTTCTATCAGTTCGCATTATCGAGCGTTCTTCACTTATCCTCATCTTTGAGTACCTGTCATCACGTTGAACAGGGGGAGGAAAGTGTGAACCATTGGATTGCTGCTTACTGGTTCAATGGCGAAGTGTTCCCCGGAGAATTTGAATGTCCTGAGCTAGACGTCCGGTGAGGCAATGGTTCGCGCTGCTGAGAAGCCCCATACTAAGACGAAACAGCTATCTAGTGCTTCCAGGTTATCACCGGTTCCCCAACTGATGTCCCTTTGTGATGAGTGGAAAATTGAAGTCAATAAATCCACATAAATATCGATAACTGAATCTTTGGGATATTTTAAGAAATAGGAAGAAGAACCCTTTTTTCTGTCCTTCCATTTTCTATTACTTGAAACAAACAACAGAAATTAGAAGGTGTAGTTAAAGGTACGAAGGGTTGAAAACTTATCCTCCCTCAACTGTATTAATACATCTCTACCAGTGTGACAGATTTTGAACAATAACCCCAAGAGCCTCCAACTATTGTTTGTTATTGTCTTCATAACACCAGCCAGCCAGCCAGCCAGCCAGCCAATGTACATCTGGCTTTAGGATTCTATTCATGAATGCTATTAAAACAGTCTTCTAGAAAGCAGTTAGGTCCCTTAACTTTTCATAAGTGTAACTTATCACTGAAGATGATATCACTGCCTTAACAGTAGAATTATTAAAACTCAAAGACGTAATCAAGTGATATTCAATTATGAATGTACTCATCAGCTTAGATGTGCATATATAAGAAGTATATGATGGAAAATCAAGACGAATAACTGCATAACTTACTATTAATTTCCATAAACCAGAGACTTTTTCACCCCAATGAACAACCGATGAGAAAATCATTGAACTTTCACCAGAATATGTGTCCAATTTTCGGTAATCTAATATCATTGCATCAGTACCAGATGGACTAATCAAATGGAATTTTAAACTTCCACGACATGAATGTTTCCATTTCACATGAATAATTACTTGTTCAACAATATCTACATGACATTTTGTATTTTCTGGAATATTTTGTGGTGTTGAATATTGAGTTATACCGTTTAAATTGGTTACATTTAAAAGAACTTTAGTTTCTGATTTTGACCTAATTGGCCTTTTCAAAGAGATAAATTAATGAGAGAAAAACAATAAAAAGAAACAATAATGAACGTAGTGGATAATTTCTTCATGTTCTACACCATAACACTGCATATATAGTCCTGAATAAGTTAGTAAATGTCATTTTAAATATTTCAATTCATTCAGGTCGACGCTTATTAGACGACGATAGTGTTTACATATATAACGTACGGTTGGAGATATTCCTCGTTAATTCCTATGTCATACAGGTTGTTTTTGTTTACGCCAACTTACAAGAAAACAGCATCCTCAGCTTCAAAGTGACTGGTCATCTCTAAGAAAGTCGAAAAAAATATCATTCACTGGTGATGTTAGACATTGCCAGTAAGCTTTTCAGATTACCTTAAGACTTATAAGGTTATAAGCATTCAAACCATAGTTGTTATGACTGTTGTGAAAGAATTTGAGCACCGAATTTGAATGAATGATTATAACAGTATAGTTTAATGTAATCCTAGTGTGAAACAATTAGTCCCTTTAATAAATTTCGATAACGAAGATTATCTGAACAATGTGTATATGTGTGTGTGTGTGATGTACTTGCTTAGTACATTTCGGACAATTTGAAAAGGTTGTGACACACTAGTCTTGGTAATATACTCAGATTACTAAGGATTACTAAGGTAAATTATGTGAAACAACAAATTATTTCTGTACGCACAGTGGAGTCTTAAGTTTACGAATGGCTAACGTTTCGGTAAACTTTATTATGCACCCTTGATTATTCCTGTATAATATCTTGAAGGCTGTTTTCGTATTAACCTCGTGATTCATTTCAATGATATGTTTTGTTATAGATGATGATGAATGTCTATCACCTACACTTATAAGTGTTTGTGTGTTGAATTTCTTTTCAAGCCATTTAGGTATGTGTTTACCCACCCTAGTCTGAAGTGAACGATTACTCTATAGAAGGTATGTTGATGATATCATTGTAATATGTTACACAGATAAGAATGTCAGGGTTTTGCTAAAAAGGCTTAATACCGTAGAAGATCATGTCAGTCTGACATATGAAGAAGAAAAAGACCATGAACTTGGATTTCTCGATACACTCTTGTGCCGGAGGGAAGATGGATCTACCAAACGATCAATAAATACGAAGCCTACTTGGACAGGATAGTACTTGAGTTTCCACGGCTTTTGCGTAATGAAATATAAGAGGGGTTTAGTAAGATACTTGTTTAATAAAATCTAACGTATTTATACATCTGATACAATGAATAATCAGAAGAAATTTCTGATAGACACACTTTTGTAAAACAGATATTTATTACAGTTCGTGAACCGTTGTAGAAAATAGCCGACCCCGAAGACTGTAGTTTCTTCGGTTCTCAAGAAAGACATTTTTCTTAAAGTACCATACAAAGGGCAAACGAGTAGTATGATATTGAAGCAGAGATTAAAATCTGCTATCAGTAAAACACACTATGCAGCTCAGCTAATCATTGTTGAGACAACAACACCTGCTTCACCACAAACCTCAACCTCGTATTAATGATTATGTCACATCCCACTGTGTTTACCAATTTACATGTATATGTGGGCAAACATACACAGGGAGAAGTAATCGTTCAATTTAGACTGGGGTGGATGAACACATACCTAAATGGCTTGAGAAGCAACTTAACACACGAAGTTTGATAAGTGCAGATGACAGATATTCATCTTCATCTATAGCAAAACATCTTTATCGAAATGAATCATAAAGTTGATACGAAAATGGCATTCATGAGATAATAAAGGAACTGTCAACGGCGCATACTGAAGTTTGTCGAAGCGTTAGCCACTCGCAGACTTAAGACTCCACTGTGCGTACAGAAATAATTTGTTGTTTCACATAATTTACCTTAGTAATCCTTAGTAATCTGAGTATGTTACCAAGACTGGTGTGTCACAACCTTTTCATATTCATCATATTTGACTTGTAAATTTTCTTTTCATTTTCATGTATAAATTGACTTGAGACAAGTAAATGTGTGGGGGATCAGATTGCACAGATACACCACACACTTTTCAGATAATCTCTGTCTTCCTAGAAAAGTAATCTCAGTGTGTTTAGAAAATCAAAACAATATTTTGCCAAACGTTTCGTTGTATATGCTACAACTTTTTCAAACGATACTGAAAACTATCTGAGATAGCCGTGGTTTGGCAGACTAGTATTTATACTGAGTGATGATTGAAGGTGAATTGAAAATTTGGAGTGTAGCCGGATACAAACCACTGACCAACCGGTTTCCGACCCGACGCTCTATCAACTGAGCTATGAGGCCCGACTGTTGACCAGATTGTCATTTCACTTCAATCAATATGATTGTTGCTCGACTACCATGTGAATTCATAACGCATAAATACCGCTTGATCGTATTCACACTGACTGCTGCCTAGTTATGACTTCTCATCCCAATACGATCAAGCGGCAGTAACGCGTTATGAATTCACATGGTAGTCGAGCAACACTCATAGCGAATGAAGTGGAATGAAAATGTGGCCAGCAGTCGGGTCTCATAGCTCAGTTGATAGAGCATCGGGTCAGGAACCCGTTGGTCGGTGGTTCTTATCCGGCTACACTCTAAATTTCCAATTCACCTTCAATCATCGTCCAGTATAAATACTGAAAAAATTAAATCCTGACTAAGCATAATAAAAGCAGACAATGTCACAGGTTTTCTGAATAAAAAGGATTTTTGTAAGAAAGTGTAAGAGCATTTGGAAAAGAACTATTTGAGGTTATCATTAGTAAGATGAAGAAACATACTCATCTGCCTTTAGCAGATTTATGCAGTCGTCAGTGACCCACGCCTATTATGTGAAGGCCGATTGTACTACCTTGCTGCCCAAACTTCGGTAGACGGAATGGTATTCGAACTCATAACCTATGAGTAATAATCATTCGAGTATATTAAATAAAACATGAAGACTACTCAGAGAAATGAAACTCTAACTTGGAAATGCAACATGACTTTCATTAGCTCTAAAGATGAATACATTTGTTAGTTTCTACAAAAGACCTAAAAATCCATAAAACAAAGATTTCCTTTATTTTAGAAGTAGTATTCATTATGAACTGACATCAGTTGGGGAACCATTGAAAATCTGGGAGCACTGAACAGCTGTTTCTTCCTAGTATGGGACTCCTCAGTAGTACGCATCTTGAAACCTGAAGGTCCTGAGTTCGATCCCTAGCCGGGCCGTGGGTACGTACTGCTGAGGAGTCCCATACTAGGACAAAACAGCTGTCCAGTGTTCCCAGATTTTCAATGGTTCCCCAACTGATGTCAGTCCATGATGAATACTACTTCTAAATTGAAAAATCTCCATTCATCTCAAAAATACATTTCCTTTATTATTTTCACATATTCGACAACTTATCACTTATTATCTATTCTGTTGAAGAAACTATAATTTATCCAGTGAAAAGTTTACCACCATCTTATTTTGATTTTCATAACACAGGAATTATATTAAGATGTATGCTTATAAACGACTTATATGGGACCAGAGACAGGTATATATTTGAAGTAGTCTTTCGAAGTGTATTTGCAAATAAACAAAAGAAATGCCATTTCATATCCTCTATAGTTTTCACAAACCATTAAATGCTGTCGGACAGCATTTTTAAAAATTCTTACTGATGATATTGTATATTCAAACAATGAAACTTTCATGGTTTAGGTAACAAAACACTACCGAAAATATCCTCCAAGACTGTAAATCACTTATGGTATCTTCGGTAGAAATGTTTTTGATATCACGGTTATGAAATTAAAACAAATTACTGAAATCCAAATGTTAGTTAGCTGGAGGCACTAGGAAGAAAGCTCTGGAATCCGGTTCCTTGCTTGTTGATCTTCGTCAGCAGGGCATATCTGTAACTTCCAGAGAACTGGTACTCCCTGAAAGTTTCAAATCCACGTCATCCGGTACTGTAGTCAGAGATATTCTCACTGAACTATCCTTGTCACGATCGAACTCCTGTACGACTGTATGAGAAATACTGATTGGTCATTAGAGAGTATGGATAGAATTGAGTTAGCGCTAAGTGCTAGATAATATGAAATTGGTTACTCTCTAGTGATCAACCGATAAAGATCTGAATTTGTTAGAAATATTGGTGTCAAACATAAAATTTATAGATAGTTTAGAGGTACTCTAATTCACTTTAAGATTGGAGTACAGTTTGTTGGCTTTTAACTAAACAGAGTCAATTGACTGAATACCTTGGACTTATGTGTAATGGCTGTTGGCAATCACTAACAACACCACATACCTGCAACTGAGAGGAAACTTTTATACAACTGATGGTTAAAACTTGTATCATTCATTTCTAAAGTTACAGACTTAGCTACGAACCTTTTAAAACCACTGCTAACCTCCTTATCACCGGACTAAATACAAGAATTAGTTATCAATGGGTAACCAACGTAGCTGTCTAGTTCTTAGTGATCAGTACTGACCGAAGTCTGTTAATCAGGTTTTCAATTTATCACTTAGCTAAGTGGCGGAACACTAGGTCATTTTTGACTGAATGTACGGTCTTCTTTAGAGCTCAAATGTAACGATTTAAAGAATTACGTGAAACTACAGAGTACCAGACAGCTGTTTCATTTCGGTTTGGAGGGGCTTCCCCTTCTACTTCTTCTTTGTGCGTCAAGGACTTCATAGACAACTAAACGAAAACTTTTCAGTTTTGGATATCGACATGTTGCAACTCAGATAGTAAATCGAAAGTATTGGTTTCTTCTAAACGGAGAATAAGGGGGATGATTCACAGACACTGTCAAATCACGGCTTTAATATCTTGTGAAGTGATGCAGACGGTAAAGTGTGAATCACTTAAGTTCAATTAAGTGACTAAATGCTGAAAAGTTGGACGAAGATGACTGGAATTCGAAGGTTCTGTTTTTTTCTGCATATGTAGATGTTGAAATAATGGGGAATATTAGTAGCTCAGGTGGATGGTCTTGGTTG